GCCTGGTTTGTCGTCTGGCGTCTTATTGGTCAGTTCTCAAGCAGGCATCATTCCTCCGTTGGTAATCGGTCTGTACATTGTGTTGATTTCTGTGCGGTACGGCGCATCATGTGTATCCAAACTTTCTTCTTTGGAGTAACTTGATAATGATTCTGGACTAGATACATCTGGCTTGGAGTCGATCCGTTCCCGTAGCTCCTGCATGAACATCAACCAGTTAATGAATCGGATAAAACTGCCCGAAACAAACTATTCCTTACCAGTCTGAATGTTAGTTAAACTAAGGTCTTCCCAACGACCGCATCTAAGTAAACGATGAAATGTTAAAGATCTGAATGAGAACATATTCAACTTCGACGGGCCAAGTTTGATGGTGCGTCTCTATAACGGCTAGAGTGACCACGGGAAACATTGAAATTTGAGCAGTGTGTTTGAGACGACAGACGACGTAAAAGTGTTCTAGTTGTGTTACGCTAACTGGCCTATTTGTGTTCGTTCTGTGCACCTAACCAGCACTGGTACGCCAGATATGTGGAGGCGTCTTGATGAGATCACAAGGCCTGGGAATCCCGACGGTTTCACCTAAATGCTTCTGTTTTTTACCGAATGAACTTTGGACGGCTAGATTCATGGAAAAACACAAGCCAGGTTTCACGACGATGGCAAAACACGATACGGAACAGCTTAAATTCATTTTATTTTGGCAAAATCAGGCATCAAGTGGCGTATCCGTTAGGAACAGACGTTACGGACAGAGTCAATGAGGGTTTCAGCCTCGTATCCGGCTTTGCACAGCTCCATCAAATGAGTTGTATGCTGGGCTACCTCGGTGACCTGAAGACAGATAGATAACACGATCTCAGCTAGGAAGTTAGTCTAACAAAGGAAGCGAATGATCAACCAAGTAAATGAAAGACTTAGGATCCTACATTTTGAGCATAGGTTTGTACTAAATATTGAGAATGCCTTCAAAAGAAAAGGAAGGCGCGTTCACACAAAATTCCCCCTAACGTTCACTAAAAGGCTCCAGTATTCTCGTAAAAAACTGGCCATTCGTTTAAACAGCGGGGAACATTGTCAGTGGGGCACACTGAAAGTCAAGTGGATATTAGGTCCGCGATTAAAACTACGAAACAAAATACGTAGTAAAAATATGACCGGTTTCGCCTGTCTTGAGTCTCATCGGGTAGCCGCAGTCTAATTGAACGCGACAGATTTTGTCGAATGCTCCCGCTTTTCAACGAATTAGGTTTTGAAATGGGACACGAGTGATCCGCCAATGATATTTCGCTTCCACTGAATGAACGTCTAGAACACAAGGCTGATGGCATCCCAGGAAGTGCGCCTACCTAATGATGAATACATTCTCGTGCCCCAAATCCAATCAAAACGTGACTTCATCGATCGAAACCCTAATCCCATGACACAAAACTTTGGGAAATGTGAGTCTTAGGACGAAACCATTCCGGATATTCCGGATATTCGATTCTGGTCAAAACCCTGGCTTTATTGTTGATACTGGTAGGGTTGAGTCCAATATTCCTCAATCAAGTCTAACTGCATTCTACCCAAGTGGCGTGATAGTGCCTACAGATGTTAACATTCATTCCGTACAGACATTCCGTACCACTAGTTGGTAGATGCACGTTCCCTGTGATATTACCCAAAAGATCCCCCATCGATTGTAATATTTTGGTTTGAACGTCGGGACCGTCGGTTATCGGATTCAAAGTTCTACGCTCACTGCGAAACAGTATTACCTTACCGACTTCTGTGAATGAGAATGAAATCAAGCAACTGATTCCTTAATGTCCTAAACCTACAGGTGGCATGCAGATACCAGGGAGGCAATCGTTTCATTTGGATTACACCAGCCTGTTCGTCAAGCGCTTCAACGAGTTAACGCTGACTACTGTGACCCTTTTCTCGGCAAACAATATGCTTTGTTCGTTATTGACACATATTCACGTTGGCCTGAAATGTCTTTTCTGACGAAGTCTACAGGTGCCGAATTCACTCAGCAAGCATTATGGACTTTCTCTGTACAGACTGGTTTTGTTGATTCCAAAAATAACGGACTATTCTTGGAATCAATAAACGTATGGTATACTGTTCGGGCAGATGTGACACTGAAGAAGTGTTTTTGAGTGTTTGTCGCTGATCAATTCTAAACAGTGAAATTGCTTGCAGAATTTCTTCTCTACGGAAGCACTGGGGAAAAGCACAGTACCGGTGGTATAGAGGGTCGAACTCTAGTGAGTCACACGGCGCAATAGCTGGACAACCGTGGCCCTTCAGTCGAAATTTTTGCAGGTAGAATCGAACGAGTTTTGTACAGAAAGGCCTGGTCTCGTTGATCACAAAGGGGGGTTTTCACCACCCTATAGAGAATAGCCAGAGTTCAAGTCAACAGAGATTTGAAACCACGATACACACTCAAAGTAAGACAGCGGTATTCATATGAACTTAACCGAGTTCATTAGTTATGGGTATCATCTCGGGCTTGTCTTTCTACAATTTTACCGCATCAGTTGATCCAGCTTTCTGTTGGTTGGACATTGATATGTTCGGGAAATGTTCCCCGACATTTTGCGCTTTTGAATAACAAACCTGACGATTTCAGCCAGATATGCTGGTCAAATCATGCTCCAGTATATTCCTTAGCAGTGTTGAGCACGGAGCCCCTTCACAAACAATCACACCCATGTTCACGACTGTCCTGTGTCACTTCCAACAGCAATCTCTCAAATTTTCATGGTTGTTTTTTATGCTGGTTGGAACTCAAATCGCAATATGTTCAAACTGAACAAAGTTCGGCTAAAATTAAAATTATACTGAAATGAACTGAACTGAAGTGAACTGGACCGACTGAAATAAAACTGAACTGAACTGAACTAAAACTGAACTAAACTGAACCTTTAGCTCCAAATTTGCCCGGAATTCCATTTCCTGAACGCTCATCATCAGGTCAACTTGCCTGTTGAATTGTGAAGCAGTGCGTCCGGAATTGATCGAATACTGCCTTGAAACACATGAGCTCATCCCTCTTGGACAGGCCCTTTACCGTTGGCTTATGGTTGGTTTTCACACGCTCGACGAAGTCACGAAACGTATCCTTGACGATGTTGGCGAGCTAAAAGAAGCGAGACAATAAGTGTGGAAGGTAGTAGAGAGACTGTTATAGATTTCTTGCACATCTGTACGAATCACGTTGGATTTGTGCGTGGCATCTAGAAAGGGCGGTTAAATTATTGGAATGATGACGTTTGCCTGCTCCCATACATCATCAATACCAACTCCCCACCCCATAAATAGACTTTTACCTAAAATGATATTTCATCGTGTATTCAGTCCATTTGTTTAGATCACCTGGATAAGAAAAGCAAACAACAAACCTGAAGTGCACGGTGCAGCTTTGGCCAAGCAGTTACATGTTCTTCCTCGGTTGCGGCTGCCATCAAGCGTCGGAATTTTGAAATCAAATTTGCCTGGCAATAGGGCTTTCTATCTTCAGCATTCGGCTGGAATCAAGAAAACAATTGAACAACACTTTTTGTTAACATGAGTTCTGGCAATGCTGATTTAAACAGTTGACTTCCTAGACTACTCACTATTTGGAAGAAACTACATAAATCGGTTGCCATGCCAGCGTAACGCAAATTACGGACCAAATTCTTCCTCCTGTAAATGAGTTTGGAGTACATAGGACATCACTACACTTTTCATGAATTTCGCTGAATATCTGAAACGGGGCCTTAACACTCATGTGTAGATTTACGCCGCAAACACATTCAACCAAGCGATCCCGTTGCACAATTGAGTTGCACCTTGGGTTTAGCAGGTGATAATTTCTGTGCTCATTCCATGGTCGGAGGATGTAACATAATATTGACCAATAATTGCAATCGGTGGAAAGCTTGTCAGTTGGACTGATAGGTTTACAACTTTGGATCGATTTTCACTGAACATCATAGGCTCCAAGAGTTTGATAAAAGATACGCTCGCTCTACCTATCTATCTATCTACATACATACCTACATATCTATCCATCTACCTAACAGCCTATCTACCTATATCTCTATCTACCCATCTATCCATCTATCTATCTAGCTATATTTATGTCTGACTATCTATCTATCTATCGAACTACCTATCTATCTATCCATCTATCTATCTATCTATCTATCTATCTATCTATCTATCTATCTATCTATCTATCTATCTATCTATCTATCTATCTATCTATCTATCTATCTATCTATCTATCTATCTATCTATCTATCTATCTATCTATCTATCTATCTATCTATCTATCTATCTATCTATCTATCTATCTATCTATCTATCTATCTATCTATCTATCTATCTATCTATCTATCTATCTATCTATCTATCTATCTATCTATCTATCTATCTATCTATCTATCTATCTATCTATCTATCTATCTATCTATCTATCTATCTATCTATCTATCTATCTATCTATCTTCTATCTATCTAGAGGTTTGTAGGAAACCACAAGTAGTGGCTTACCGGTTAAACTCTCGTTTGAGTCTAAAGACAGTTTAATTTAAATTGTTGAGTCGGCTGTCACCTAGCAGCCTCCCTCGATGATACTTGGGATGTCAGGTGTTTCGTCCACTGAGGTGACATCTGCTAATACTGTCTTTCGAATATGAAGTGGTCACTTGGTGCCTTAACCACCAAGGGAGATAGAAATAACTGTTCAAATATACATTCCAAAATATTGAAAACTGCGTTGTACACATACTGCTATTGCCCCGTCTTTCCGATGCATCAGCAGATCATAATGACCGTGGAACTTTCCAACCGGGAGACTGCCCATCGCCTGGAACGAACAATAAACAGACACCTATGAGTCAAGTATCAACCGATATAGCGTCTTTTTCCTTATAAGGATGAAATGGCACACCATGCGACCGTACTTTCACACTTTAGTACTCACGTGCTAGTGTCGGAAGATCCTGTTGATCAATGAACATCAGTTGCGAAACCGTCCCACAAACAGCATTGTCATCAGTCATTGATGTCCACCGAAACACTAGTATTATCAGCTTCGTTTGCTCGGTCAGATCCAAGGCACTCAATTACTAACCGGCAACCATCCGATCAGTCACGAGTGACTGATCAGCAGCGAAGTGTGGTTGACTGTCACCTGGAAAGCGCACAGCTTCACTTATCGTTCAATCACGGAAAACCACATCACTGGGTCATATATTGATCGGCTCATCGAGTGTCAACTTCTCAGATGGAAGTTTCAGTCATCGTGTAAAACTGTCTTTCCTCTGAGAAATTTGTAGACGATTCCTAAAAATTTGCTTTCCTTTTGTACCGTAGCACAGAAATGTATGAATCATAAAGTACCCAAAGCCATTGCTTGGTTTTCCGAAATGTGACACTGGCCAGGCTTGAAAATCTAGAGGCCTGGACTAGATACCTTGCTGAATTTTATCTATGGAACCTGAAGTTCCTAACCAAGTATTTTCCGCATTGACCGTCATCTTTCTCAGGTAACAAAATAAAGCTGTCATCTTAATATATGCACTCATTTTCATAACAGTTTGACTTTTTACAAGTGACCCAAACGGATCTCTCCGTTACATATTGTAACTTACCATTTCGCCGTATTTCATTACGTGACTTAACTTCGTAGTTTTTTTCACCTCCTCGTATTGTTCCTCCAGTGTACGCTTTTTTAGGTCTTTCTGCGTGCGAGTGAGAGATAATGTCACAGAGGAGCTATGTGAAGCAGACACGTAAGTATGCGCAATTTTAAGACGAATCCGCTGTAGGCAAAACATCACTAGAATTAAGACAACCGCCGTATGCAACGACACATACTGCTGGTAAAATAGTGAGCTCTCCTCTGCACCTCGACACTACACATGCACATGCAACATATCTCAAGGATTTGACCACCATCACCATCAGCAGAAGCATCATCCCATTATCCTCGAAAGCAAAAATAGACGAAAATACTGATGATTCACTGCCGTACAAACATCATAAATTATTCGTGGTGGAAAAGGAAAGGATAATGGAACACGAAGGAAGCACTAGGGCTAGCCTAAAGCAAACACCCGAGATGACTACACATCCAGAAACCACTCAGACAATCTGCATAGAAACGGACAGCCTGAACATAATAAGCATATTGATTCATTTAGACAGATATATTGAGACAAAGGTTCCGGAAAATTGATCAGCCGATCTGAACCGAAAAAGATAACAAGAACTCTAATAACATCGATTCAAGCACCGTCACGTTGGGAATCAGGCAGTCTCATTCATAGAGCGCGAATGACGCCCATAGCGCCCAGACATTTGTTAGTCTATTTCACATCACTTTGCAAGATCAGAGACAAACTTGATTGGGAGGATAGTGAGAATTTTCGGACATACAAACAATGGTTTGATTATTTTGGGGCCACCGGAAGGCCGTGATGACTGAATTGTCATACATCCTCTTCACGCTTCAAAACAAAATGATAAATGGTTTTGAGAATCAAATGGACTACCACTGGCTGCTGCGTACCACCGGATAACCCATCCACAACCTACAGGCTTATCTGCAACAGTTCTTTCAAAACTTACGTATTCCGAATCTAAAATCCAGCGAAGCGAGTATTCGTTCGCAAGACAGACATCGATGTCCTCGTCCAAACAAAATATAGCATGGGATTGTTCATCTTCTGTGGTTGATGTTGTCACGTAGACTGCAGATATAGGGGTTCAGACAACAGAGGTTATAGGTCTATGTCAAAGGTGTGTAAAATAGTGAGGTGAATTATCGACGAATGGATTCTGTGACTCACAGAAGTAATGAAGCTGCAAGACGTTTAGGACTAACACACTGCGCACAAGGTCGCCGACATTTCATTGACANACGGTTTTCGTGCTTCTTGCGGCGAATCATGCAGAGACAGTTCTTGAATTCCCTAAAACTTAATCAAGAATTGAACCCAAACTGGTCGGAATTTGCCAGACACTCTCATGAATAAGACATTTATCTGTGTTTGGTTATGTCAGCCCGTCAAAATTAAATAAATGTGTGATTGTATAATATGTTTTTTACGGTGGAACTAGCTGGAAAACGAACACTGACGAGAACGGTCAAAGTTTTACACGTCACAAGCAGTATACCCGTGGTATTCCGCGGTTCGAAGTGCACTTTTTATAGAAGACCCACGATCCATTTATGATTTACAAAGAAGTTATCCACTTAGCATTGGTGGGTGCTGCAAAAGGACACCAAATATCACAGCGGTTTTGCCGGTTATACAATGATTTCCTCCACCCATAGGAAACTGGTTAAGCATCAAAAGCGACATTATTCGACAAAGGCTGGATTTTGTGCCATCACCGGCAAAAGGCTTCCCGCGTAGATTCAGGGGCTACTACCATACAAAAATCGCCAAGTGACCAAGCATATCCAACCTTGGAAATTCGTTGAGTTTTACTATCCAACACCGCTCTTAAACCATATACATGATTTTCACTATGAATGCTATTTCACAGGATCCATGCAAGAATCAGGGAGACATTTACGCTACTTACTTCCCATATTTGAAGGAAGAATATCTTTAAACATAGAGCCAGAGCTGCAAGACTCCATGTAGAGCACCAATTTGTTGAACATTTTGTTTGAATGCATGTAGGCGAGGGTATCGTTCAACTCCATGGCACGCAGCTGTCGAAAGACAAGGAAAAAATCTCGTAAGCTTGAAATGAGGCGCTCGATGAGTCAGTCACCAGTGATGTGGATACCTTGATGGAAGAATGAGTGGCGTTATATCCGCACTCAGTGCGGATAAATCAGGCTGTTGGTTAATCGCTCGTGGTCGAACGTTATACGCTGCAAATACCAAGCGCACCACTGATGATTCTCAATAAGAATGTAACATACGTACATTGCTTATTGGCTTTCCATCACAGTCTGGTTTCGCATACATAGATACAAAATCCTCAAACAGTTAAAGATTTGAGCTGTCACCATAGAAGCGAAAAGCTATATGTACTCATGTCAGGAACAATTCGGCTGACGCCTTCTTTGGATCATCCACGCCTCATGAGTGACCGTATACAACCAGTTTCTTTTCTTACGGTAGCCACGTTTGCTCAGCAATCTGAACGAATCGATTACAAATTCTTGTTAGTTGAGCGACATAAACTTAGTGAAACGAACGCTTGGCGTTATCATTTGAATCAAGTTGACGAGACCTATCAGACTTGGATTCCTTGGAAAGTCACACTTCTTCTTTGTTTATGATATCTACGTTTGCTCACCAGTCTGAATGAACCAATCGCGAAATCGCGTGAGTCGAACGACCTTAAAATTCGTAAAACAAACCGTGACGGTGTAATTTAAAGCACATTGACGAGACATATCGAAATTGAATTCCTGGGGATGTCACTATTGAGAGTGACGTAAGAACCTCGTACCTTGTGTTCCAATTGTCGATTGATGTGCAGAACAGCTTGACTATAAACTCGCTTTTATAAAGAATTAACGATGTCTTTGCACCAATATCTTTACGTAAACGTTTGCAATCCGATCACCATTCAGCTTCGAACTAAAAACTTCGCGATAAAACCGCTACCAAAATTAACTGAACTTACAGTTTCGTGTAGGAATCCAATAAAGCGAGTCCCACCATGGCCAGAGTAGAAGATGAACACGTTGTCATTAGGACCGCTGTTATTGGGCAGAATGGTTAAGGTGGTCTTGAAAAGTAACTTATTGGCTGGCGCTCGCACAGATAGAAAAACACAAGAAAATACCCGCGGAACTGGAAGCATAGCGAACACGCAGTTTAGAGTATTGTTTTGTACACGCTGCTGGATATAATCAGTAGCTGAATTAACTTCCACTAGTCTGCAGTTTGCGTGGCCACGTGAATACGGAGATGAAAATTCGATTCTTTGGACGTCGGTTGGTTAATTCCTATTGTTTTCAATGCATCAAAATGGTTTGAAGCAGAGTTCCACTTGAGCTACTTTTCTAATCTCGCCGTTGGAACGGTCACTTCAGCTCTTTTGTAAAGACGCTCTTGTTAGAATGATTAAATCTGTTTATTGAAATGTCTACATAATATATACACTACTGAGGAAACATTTTATACCAAAGGTGAGGCAATCGGACATTATTAACATGGATATCAATGATACCAAATGTTGTTATCTAAAACTGAGCTGAAAATGTTCCGCTTGTTTGTCTTAGATCATCACCAGCCGAGGTGATATCATGAGTGAGTGGTTGGGTTGGAAGTTATTCCATACCTGTTTGATATTATACGGCTGTGACTGGCGGATGGCAGCATACCCTTCTCAGGGTAGAAATGGTCGACTTCGAACTGTGCTGCGTTTTGGCTGGCATTCCCAGACTTCGATTGCTGCTTTAAGTAGTTTCTGTCTGAGGACCTTTTGTTCATGGTCTGTTTGATCGCTAACCGATTTCTAATGTGTTGCATTGGAGCTCATCTAAGATAGAGTTTTTTACAAATTTGGCAAGGTTTCAAAATACAAACGATTAGACTCACAATATTTCAAGTAACAAAAATATCTCTTCTGAATATGCTGAACGAAATATTCCCTCTGAAAATGCGGTTTCACAGAAAACTAGCTTGCTAAAACAGGACACAATTTCTGCGACAGGCAGCGAAAGCTTCATACTCTGGGCGACAGCAAATAAAGTGCTACAGATCTACCACCGCCTGGCGGGTGAGCTCAGAAATGAGTGCATCGTTTGTGAGTGAAACGGTTTACCGAAACATCGGTAATTTGGGAAATACCCACAAACAGCGCGCGATTACTTATCTTGTCACAAATGCAAATCAAAACTGCGTACAATTGACAGGATGAGGGATTTATGGTTTGCGAGGGAATAAACATTTGCCTCGTTTCCTGGCTTGTCTCTGTATGCCGACGCTTCCCATCTCGTCATGTGCGGGTCACGAAAGCTTGAAATGAATTTCGAAAGAACAACATTGATGTTACCAACCCACATAGGTGAGATAGGTATTTAAAAACCTGAGTCTATTAAGGGTGAGGGACCGGAATAAAGCGAAAAAGCCTTCAGTGGACTTGGATTTCAATCATCCAAAAAACGGTGTTTATTTGCGTTGTTCAACACCACGAGCTAAGACAACTCCTGAATCTGAGCAAACCAAGATCGACCGACCCCATATTGTAGAAGTCCGAGGAGACATTTGACCATTCACAACTGCGCATATCTGAATATTTTGAAATTTCTGGATGAACCGGGTTTCTCCTGCAGTGAAGCAAATCCTTTTGAATGACCTCTGGAAGGCTTACTCAAACTGATTATGTACCAAGTTACTTACGAGAACGTGATCTGCAAAACTAGAATTCTGGCTGTGATCAGCAATATCCACTTCCGCGCCAGCTCACCTTTTAAGCACCTTCTTCTTGTTGGCTTCAAGTTTCTCATCGCCTTTTAATACTTTCACGAAGTTATCTCGTGTGACATCCTAAAACGAATGGACATGCATGATCAATTATTATTGTGACAATGGTGTTGCCCACACTCACTCTCTTCCATTTAACCATCCACTTCCACGATAAGAAATAAGTGAAATCTAGGATCTGCTCCCCATCTTCATTCATTTTATTTCTGCGATGGTCGATGTATGCTGAAAAATGAATTATTGGATTGTTGGTATGTTTGCCAAGCATGACATTTGGATTTGCTCCTCAAGCGTAGAGTTGGTAGTTCAGTTGATCCTGGATTCCTTGGAAGCAAGCTCGTGTAGCCACCATCTCCCTCAGTTGGTATGGGATGCAACATACGTGAGAAATAGCCACTATCGTGAAGTGAGTATCACTCAACAGCACTCAACTGAATCACAGTTGAGCATCTCTTATCTAAGATATTCTTTAGCTGAATGTGCTGTCCAGGACACGCTGCTTGTTTTGTTGGTGCACAATTCGGGTTATCACAGGATATTTCCCCGAAGAAAGCTATTCGTGCAATGTTGGTCCTCGTGAAATTTTCATGGTTCGTATGACAAGAACGCTAGCCTATGTGATGGGCAAATGCAGAAGGCTGAACTCGGTCATGGGCTACCGGGGAGTTCTCTACGGCCTTATGACTAGTGTTCGTTTAAAGGGATCGAACATTCTGTAAACGAAATCGCATACCCCAGTGTTTGTATTTCGTTTTGATCCTCAGTATAGTTCCACTTGCACTTTGAGTTAAACGGTGAACTGCCTCAGGAGTTCAATTCATTTCTGCGCACCGGAACACGGACTTACTTTTCCTCGGTAGTCAATTATCACACCATTGTATACATCATCGCGCAGGTATTCATGGAACACTTCTTCTCTAAATGGATTTCTTGAATAAGAGAATGAAAAGTGGCAATGAGTCCTCTGGGAGAAACTAACATGTAGGGCAATTATAAATAAATGAAACGGCTTGTTTTGGAATAAACTTTCACGGCGATGTGTGTACCTTCTGTCACATATAATAATCGTTTACGCAGAACGTAACATGTAGGCCGAATAGAAAGAAATGAAATCCTCACAAATTCTGTTTGAATTCGGTTCGCAGGCTTGTTTTGGAATAAATTTTCACGCCAACGAGTGCTCCTTCTGTCACACATCCGATTGAGTTTTAAATAATATTCCTTTAGGCAGGAAAAATTTTGGTATTCTTCAAGGATCCCCGTAGAGTGCACAACAAATGAAATTACAATTGTATTGCGATAAGGTAATTCTTTCAGGTGAATTTACATTCAAACTCCACGTTTAGTATATAATCTGGGCATCTCCATACTCAGTGCCCTTGAATGTAATACAATTCTGCGGGAAACCAGATGGCTCAAGTAGTAGAACGCGAACTTAACGACCGGAAATTCCGTAGTTCCAGCCCTACATAAGCCTCCAGAACTCTTCTGTCTAACACTGGGAAACCTGGAAGTATCCTAGGCCTCGTGCAAACTTCGTGTGTCTCGGCAGCTAGGCACCTTAAGAATGCTACATGCGAACGAAATATTCGGCACCAAAAGACAGGATTGTTACAGTATGCACGCAAGAACTAATTATTGATGCTTTCAGAAGTGGTTTTCGCTTTCCGGCTGCATTACAAAATGTTAAGCTTTCTAGATTGCCTGCTTACTGTTAGCTCCAAATCATCAGCCGGCTGATGCATTCAAACGACATCTAGATCCAAGTATCCAAACGAGTACATATCGTTATCATCGTCGTCATCATCATCACCAGAATGTGCTGTTTGTGTCAGGGTACTATGGCGTCTACAGTGTTCACACAAAGGCGTCGCCCAAAAGAAAATCTGATATGACGTCTGATGTAACAGACGAAAACTCATAATTATCTGCAACTCAAATCCAACATGAGAAATACGGCAAGAAAATGAGACTTGTAAAGGACAAACAATGAAGCGCGTTCTCTATACTCTATTTGCTACCATATAGCGAAAATTTTACGCGATGTTTACTTGGGATTGTTTGCAATGTCGTCGTAGGCGAGGGTAATTATATTCCTCGCTGGAACATTGTTTTTACGCATGACTTGATACGCGTGGTAAACGTCCGCCTGAATGAGAACACAAATGACACGTGAATTATGGATAAGAGGCAGAGTGAGGCATGGAGTCTGAAGAAGGCAAGCAGAGAGTGCAGGATAATCCAAAATTTAGGAAAACAGGCACACAGTCCAATAGAGGCAAGCGGAGTGTGTAGAGTAATCCACACTTGGTGGAGTAGCAGTTATCCCAACAGTATTCGGATGCTTTATCCAAAGAACTGGAAGCATGATTCTACTCTGGTAGGGCTTGTGTGGACCACAGTTCCTCATTCAGTCAAATGTCAGATCAACGACCTGCTCACCGGAGCTGTGCAATCTTGGTAGCCCTCGAATTCGAAAATACATCCGAAGTTGTCGTTCGCTTTTGCACTGGATAAGTGGTCACAAGGCGGCAAAACTCGGTGGTAAAAAGAGAATACCAACTCAATCTTATGAATCGATACAGGCGCACTACAATGTCAGGTCAGGTTATTAGTGGTGGATTGGAAACCATCGAAGTCGTGCTTTATACAACCCCATACCCTCCAATCGCAGGCCGTGATTTCACCTGACGTAACACATCAAAATCATGTATGGTGACGAAATTCGGTTTCCGATTAACGTGAATCACACTATGCACCCCAGCAATATCTGACTTCAATAGGACCGGAGAATCGACCCCACCAAGAACAAAAAATCGTTTTAGGACATTACGAAATACTGACGAAAATGTATACAGGCCACGAAATGTGTACCCCTTAGTGTGCCTATTAGTTGTGGCTTCTATCCACCGTCATTTCGACTGAAACACCACAGCCATGGAGAACACTAGGGGACACAACTGTTTTGGGGACCAGTATTGCAAACCACTTTGAAAACCCTTTCTTACGGGATTCAGATGAACGTTTGAGCCTCAAACCAACAAACAACCAACGGAAACCTACTTGATGTCGATAATTTACCCAGGTGTTGGTACCAGCGGCAAGGACAACCCAGTTCTTCGACGGATTATTGTTAAATAACGATGACCAATTGTGGATACCGACGGCTTCTAACCATCCAACGTGGTCGATGCAGAACAAGAACGCGATAAGAAACGAACGATGCATCATATTCAGGATTGCTTGAAAATCATGTGCCTGGAATTTTATACCCTGCGTGTCTTGTGAATCGAACTTTGCCTTACAAATGTGAAAACGGTGCTTACCACAAATCTAATAGATCTGCAGTACAAAGTTCATGCTAATCAGGGTATGGTAGGCCATTTTGATCAGCTTGTTCAATAACTGATCATTCCAACAATGTGTGCACATTGATGACTTTTGGTGTTTTCTAGGACTTCGTTGAGCAGCAACCTGGGTCTAAAAAATTGTTTTCACGTATCTTCTGGCTTTATGAGTACCTTTAAAAATCCTTTGACCCATGAGAACACTAATGCGGCTTTTTGTAATAAAACGTCATAGTGAAATCTTGTATCCAAGTTGGAACTGTCCCAACCTCCTAATAATATCAGTGACAGGAAGAAGGCGTTTGTTGCGGAATAATTTATTGCAAAATGTCAATTGACCAGTTATAGACAATTGGATATGAAAGCATATGTCTCATATGCATCTTACTTAAAAAACTGAACATCCGGTTTCACGTGAGCGCGTCTTGCAGAAAGTTCCTGGATATTCATTGAGTGTTTCCAAAATCGAAGCAAACGGTACAAAACGAGTCCACAAATTCCGAAAAGATTTCCCTTCTGAAGCGAGTTTACAAGAAGAGATATTACTCTTCACATGCTTCCCCCATCATAGTATTATCGTTACACATCACCTTTGAAAAGTGGTTCCCATAGCATCGATTTTCATTTACCTCCGGGAGGTCGGCTTCTGCAGCGGATCTATCGGTTGCCTTTTTGGTGTATCATGCCGGGTACGAATCTGCGTCCCATTAAATATTTTCGATCCCCGGCCATCTTGCATCGTACCATAACATTGTCATTTAAATTTCGTTGCACTAACCAGTTGAATCGTAATGTATTGCACTTGGAACTGACTAGATAACCCCTCATAATACGCACCTTCTAGCGGCAAACAAGGTGACGCTTCAGTTGTAGCAGCCAGAAGTAAAAGAATAACGAACAAAGCGCAACCAGAATTTATTTGAAACTCCTCCAATCCACCAAACTAAGAGTTTGAAAACCACAGTAATCGACAAGTGCCTTAATTCACACTCAACAATGATGCCGTTTGACTACTTGAAGGGGGCTCACTGATTGGTTCCCCGCCTGTCTTATAACCCGGCCTATTTGGCGACCTGCTCACTTGGCCTGATGTGGCTTTCGTGTACGATCTCGCTTCTAAGAAGTAAGCAAGTGATTAAATTATCAACTGACTGAGTATAGTCTCGAAGGATAAGCTTTTCAATCTTGAATTTTATAAGCGGATGAGGGTTGGAGCACAATGACTTTTACGCGGTTTTTTACAATTAGCATGAATGTGGACTTTGGTTGGAACTACTCCTGTCACCAAACAAAAACTTGTCGATATTCACCTACGTTCGTAATTCACCTCATCACCGCAGCTTATCAAGTCACTGAACTTTGTCTACCTTTTCACTGCCAGAGCACTGTATAGCATATGCGGCATGAGAGACAATGACG